TAATCACGCCCTGAATGGAGAAATTCTACTGCAGTGCTATGTTGTATTATAAATTTTGGTTGTTGTGTTTCCAACACTAAAACTTGAACTACCAGAAGGCAAAAAAAGCCGCCTCATATTTAATTTATGTTCCTAGTCTCTTTGCCCATCTCTTTGTTGAAAATTGCTGATTTGTTTCTCATACCCCTTTGTGTAACTGTTCTTCCACAGCTCGGTCCTCGTAAACTGCTATCAATGTTTACGTCATCAGGGTAATATAAAAGACTCTTCCTGATTTAGGAAAGCTTCCTTGATAATTCCAGACTGGTAGGTGGCCCTCTCTGGCTCTATAGTGTTGTGCACCTGTCTCTACTGCTGCCTGCAGAATTGTGTCACTCTATTTAATGAGACTTTGTCCAAAATATAAGCTCCTTGAAAAGAAGGACTGAAGATCTTCCACCTGTTTAATATCTGATCCTAATTGTCATTAGGTGTTGCAGAGTCACATATGACAAATAGCAATCCTATAAACAACCTGAACCTTTCCTATCCTGGACCATTCTCTTTATCTCTGACACCTTTGAGCCCAATGCTGAAGGTCTTCCTCAATTCTACTGACCCTTCCCCCTTTACAAGTATAATGTCCTTATCCAAGAAATAGCCTCTCTTAGCAACATGTTCAAAGTATGAGAAATAAAGTTTTCCCATCTTTTCCTCCAAGGAGGACACTGGCTACACATTTTTTTTTTTTATTTTAATGAAAGGTTACAGAGACTTTGGATTTCCATTGATAGATTGTTGCACACTTTCCTCCTTACCCACCCATCCTCTCAGTTCACTCTTTCCCTTCAAAAGAACAAAAAAAAAGAGTCTTTCATTGTTATACAATCCTCCCCACCCCCTGCCCAATGTCCACTTTACCATGCAGCTCTTATTCTGGACTCTTGTCATGAAAATAATACTTAATCATATATTCCTTTTAAACAGTTCTCTCCCTCATCTGTTTCAATGCAGTATACATTATTTATCCCCTCTTTTCTTAAGTTTCTCCCAATCCCAAAATCAGTCCCATTTAACAGCAGTGGCACTGTACAGTATTTGTCCTTTTGTGACTAAGATAATTCACTCCTGGCTGCACTTTTTATACAACATATTTGTTTGTTATTTTGGAAGTCCATGGGATATCTGGTACTCTCCTCCAATACCAAAACTCAAAGGTATCAGTTATCTTATCATCCTTAATTGTTGTCTAGCTCTCAGATTTCTAGCAAGTGATTAAAAAGACCATGTTCTGAATCAGGCACACCTTAGTCTTCAGTCTGACATCATTGCTCTTCAGTATTTTTGAGAGACTCCTAACAGGAGATTTGTGTTCTGAAATATGTCTCCTGATCTTCTGACATCTGTTTAAAAGGGTGTTAATTGTTGATCTAAGCAAGATGAAATAAATGACAACTTCAATCTTTTTTCCATCTTTCATGATACGGCCCAGTGGTGAGGATTTTTGTGTTTGGTTTTTAATTTTTTTTTATTTTGGAGATATAATCCATATTGAAGTCTATAGTCAAGATATAGTCTTGATCTCTCACACAAAGTGTTTCAAGTCCTCTGCACTTTCAGCAAGCAAGGTTCCATTGCACAGGGATTAAATTGGTTATATTTGTGGAAAGAATTGTTGGAAATGCTCAATATCAGCAGTCAAAACTAGGCCAAGTGCTAACTGTGAAACAGACCATCAACTACTAATGTACAAATTTAAATTGAATCTGAAGAAAAGGAAAACTAGTATATAAGAACCAAAATAAACCTTGATTTGATCATGCCTGAATTTAAAAATCATCTCAATAACAAATTTGAGACATTGAACATCAGTGATTGAAAACCAGAGGAACTGTAAGATGACATAGAAGATATCAACCATACAAAGCAAAAGATCATTACAAACACAGAGGAAAAAAGAAAATGAAAAGAATCACAATGGATTGCAGAAAAGACTTTAAAATTACATTCAAGTGTTGAAAAGCCAAACCAAAAAGTACTGAAGTAAAAGAGCTGAAGAGAAGATTTCTAAGAGCACCTCAAAAAAATGAAGCTAAATATTATAACAAAATGTGTGAAGAGCTGCAGTCAAAATAAAAAGAGAAGAACTCACTTGGCATTTCTCAATCTAAAAGAACTGAGAAACACAGTCAAGCCTCTAGTTGCATTACTGAGAGATGTTGTAGACAAAACACTGAATAATCCAGAAAATATCAAAAGAAGATAGAAGGAATACATAGAGTCACTGTAACAAAAATAGTTAGCCAACTATTTTAAGTACCATCATGAACAAGAGCCGATGGTAATAAAGGAACTTCAAGCTGCTTTGAAGGCACTGACAAAAAAAACCCAACAAAAACACAAAAACTAAAACAAAAAAACAAACCAAAAAAAACCCCACAAACAAACAAAAAAACAAACCAAAACCCTCACAAATAAGCCCCAGAATTGAGGGGATACCAATTGATGTTATTTCAGCTAACTGACACAACTGGATGTGCTCATCAGTCTTTGCCAGGAAATTTGGAGAACAAATGCCTGCCCTACTAAGTGGAAGAAATTAACATTTTTTCCATTCCCAGGACAGATTATCCAACAGAAATTATCAAACAATATCATATGCAAGTGAAATAAAAAAAAAAATCTTCCAAAAAAATGGCTAGAACACTATATTGACAGGGAATGGCAAGAAGTACAAAAGAGAGTTAGAAAAGGCGATGGCACCAGAGATAATCATTATTGATGTCAGATGGATCCTGAGTGAAAACAGAAAATACCAGAAGACTGTTTATCTATGTTTTATGGACTATGCTAAAATATTTTATTCTGTAGATCACAAACTATGACTAACATTTAGAAGAATGAGAATTCCAGAATACTTAATTGTGCTTGTGTGAAATCTATACCTAGACAAAGAAGGTGTCCAATTGCAGTAACAGAACACTGTATGGTTTAAACGTAGGGAGGGTGTGTACCAGGAATTTCTCTTTTCTCCAAATCTATTCAATTTTTATGCTGTTGTTGTTGTTATGTGCCATCGAGTCGTTTGTGACTCATAGCGACCCTATGAACAATAGCCCTAAACCTTGCTCTATCCTGCGCCAACCACACTGCCTCTGACACACCCATCCCGATTACCCCAGTCACCAGATCAATCCATCTCATAGAGGGTCTTCCCCTCCTGCGCTGTCCCTCCACCCACCCAAGCATGATGCCCCTCTCCAAGTACCCGTCCCTCCTGGCAACATGTCCAAATTATGTCAGACGAAGCCCCAGAATCCTTGCCTCCACTTGGTTAAATTCTCTCCAAGATGAATCTGTTTGTTTTCCTGGCAGTCCATGGTACATTCAGTACCCTTCTCCAGCACCACAGCTCAAAAGCATCCACTCTCCTTCCGTCCTCCCTAGTCATTGTCCAACTCTCTGATGCATAACAAGCGATTACAAAGACCATGGCCTGTATCAGGCACACCTTAGTCTCCAGAGAGACACCGTTGCTCCTGAGTACTTTAGAGAGGTCCCTAACAGCAGACTTTCCCATCGCGATACGCTTTTTGATTTCCTGACTGCTGGTGCCAAGAGTGTTGACTGTGGAGCCGAGCAAACTGAAGCTGTGAACAATCTCAATCTCTTCGCCATCCATCCTGACGCTGCCAATTGGTCCAGTGGTGAGAATCTTTGTCTTCTTGACATTGAGCCTCAGTCCATACTGAAGGATGCAGTCCTTGACCCTTCGCAGACTCTTTGAAGAGGAAAGTACCTTCAGAGGAAGACTCTTCAACAGCCTTCTTTATATGTTGTTGTTGTTGTTATGTGCTGTAGTCACTTGCGACTCATAGCGAACCTGTGTACAACAGCCCTAAACCCTGCTCTATCCTGTGCCAATCTCATAGCCTCTGACAAACCCACCCTGATCACCCGTCACTGAAACAATCCACCTCATAGAGGGTCTTCCCCTTCTGTGCCATCCCTCCACCCTCCCAAGCATGATGTCCCTCTCCAAGGGCCTCTCCCTCCTTACAACATGTCCAAAGTATGTCAGATGAAGCCTCGGAATCTTTGCCTCCAAGGAGCAGCCTGGTTTAACCCTCTCTAGGATGAATCCATTGGTTTTCTTGGCAGTCCAGGGTACATTCAATACTCTTCTCTTACACCACAGCTCAAAGGGGGTAGGCCTAAATAGTACTCTGTAAATATGTTTTAATAGAGAACTGATTTGCGGAAGTTTTTGATTGTAAGAGTCTTGCATCTCCCTCTCTCTTATTCATGTAGAATTGGCACTGTTAGCTGATCCTCAAGTGGATTTTCAGAGGCAGTCTTCTTTTTAAAAAAAATTTACACTCGTTTATCTACACTGGATGCCCCCCACCTCCCTAAGGCATCCCCCCGCCACCCATCAAACTATGAGACTCCAAGACTACAACCCCGCCTATCACCACCTCTCTTCTTCTCCCCCCCCCCTTTAGATCTTTATACACATTTTTCGAGGCATCTATTTTTACAGTAATGGTCTTATATAGTATTTGTCCTTAAGGAACTGAGTTAGTTCACTTAGTATAATACTTTCTAGTCCTTCCCAAGTTAGGTAGTGATTTATAAAATCATTGCTCCTGTGTGCTACATAGTATTTCATTGTGTGAATGTACCATAATTTCTCAAACCATTCAATTGTGATTGGACATCTGGGCTGGTTCTATGTTCTTGAAATGGTGAATAATGATTCTATGAACCAGAAGCTGTAATTCTTACAGGATCTCCTTTCCCACATCTTTCTCCTGTGATGCTGCAAATGAATTTGAATTTGTCACCTTTAGGTTAATTGCACAAGTCCCTATGGACTAGGCCACTCTAGTTTTATCAAGATTACAATGTTTGAATAATTTTTAGTTAAATTTTAAAGACTTAAAATGTTGTAACTTTAGTACTATAATTTAAAATATATGAATAGTTAATAATTGTAATTGTCTGGGTTTTTTCTTTAGGTTTTACCTCAACTTTGTTACTGAGGAAGTAGAAAATCCTGAAAAGTAAGTAACCTCATTTGCTTTGAAATATTTACAAATGATAAAATTTAAAGTTACAGAGTTGAAAATTTAGAATTAAAACAAAAATTCAGAGTGAATACTTAATTTTATTATTACCTCTTTTTGTTTTCATTATTTTGGTCACCATAATTTCATTATTACCCTTTTTATAATCTTGGACAGATAAAATTTACTTAAATGGATAATAAATCATATGTAAGTTCTCTTTATGTTCTACATTTGACATTATATTATAACTTGAAAGTAGAAAAGACTAATACTATGTTTTATATAATATACACCCAATAAAACCATATATGAAGCAGCTAGTTGGATTTTGAACATAATCTAGTTGGCAAGTGGGTAAGGAAGTTGCCTAACCAACCCCAAACGCAAGCGATTTGAACCCACTAGGTGTTCCATGGGAAAAGCAATCTCCTCCCATTGTAATAAATAACCTCTGGAAACCCAGTCAAGGATCAGCTGTGGGTTGGTTCCAACTTGATAGCAATGAGAGAGAGAGAGAGAGAGTTGAATTTTGATTGGTGACCTTTTTTTTAGCATTTGAGTACTAACTTGAGTAATAATTGCACTACCAGGTCACCTTGAGTAACCTCCAAAGTTGTGAATTACTGTTTATTTACCAGCTACCATGGACCAACTACTATACTAGAAACATCTTATGTAATGATTTAGTTATTTTATAGTCTAGTCAGTAAAATATATAAAAAATACACACACATATCACACAATGATTTATACATACTAGATTATTTTTTAAACCAGCCTTGCAAAAATATCAAAAGCAAATGAATAGCTTTATCAAGGGTAGCATTTGCTTATAAAGAGTCTCAAATGATGCGTTGTTGTTCTCTAGGTATAAGCAAAGCACAAGAAAATGAAAGAATGAGTAAAAGGGGGAAATAAACACATTTCCAGGAAAGAGAATGACAATTTCAAAGATGAGTCACTACAGCATAGGCATCAGGGAATATGCCTAAGGGTTTGCAGTTCAAATTAAAGTAAACTAAGAAATTTTGGCACCATGTATGTTGGTAAATGATATACCAGTTAAGTTTGGCATATTATATTTGATTAAATTAGATGTACTTGGATAATTTGAGTTTCAGTGCACATAAATAAAGAATTGTGGTTAAAATAATATTTAATACTGCCTGGTTTAATTTATGTAAATAATTATGTACTTTATTTTTCTTGATAGATAATGACTAATTTGTGACAGTTCTGTCATATTTATAATTGCATTTATGGTGGAGAACATACTTATCAGGAGGTAATTCTTTTAGCATTTCTTAGATATGATTAGCTACCTTTCAATTCTAAATCCATACATATACATAGAGGTATAAATGAATTTCTCTTTTTTGTTTTTGAGAGTAATTAGTGTGTAATTTACAGCACAGATAAAAGATGAATCTTATTGTTGTTGTTGTTGTTATGTGCCATCAAGTCGCTTGCGACTCATTGCGACACTATGTACAAGAGCTCTAAATGTCGTTCTATTCGGGGCCAACCTAGCCATCTCAAACGCACTCATTCTCACCATACCAATTACAGAATCGATCCATCTCATCGAAGGTCTTCCTCTCCTGCGCTGCTCTTTCACTCTGCCTTGCAACATGCTCAAAGTATGTCAGACGAAGCTTCAGAATCCTTGACTACAAGGAATATTCTGGCTTCACCCTCTACAGGACAAACCTGTTTGTTCTTCTAGCAGTCCATGGTATATTCAACACTCTTCTCCAGCACCACAGCTCAAAGGCATCAATTCTCTTTCTGTCATCCCTATTCACAGTCTAACTCTCTGATTGCACGTAATTGCGAAGACTATAGCCCAGATCAGGCACACCTTAGTCTCTAGCCTGACGTCGTTGTTCTTCAGTAATCTTGAGAGGTCCCTCACAGCTGACTTTCCCAATGCAATTCTTCTCCTGATTTCCTGACTGCTGTTACTAAGAGTGTTGACTGTGGAGCCAAGTCAACTGTCTCAATCTCTTCACCGTCCATACTGATGCTGCCATTTGGCCCAGTGGTGAGAATCTTTGTTTTCTTGAGCTTCAATCCATATAGGAGGCTGCAATCCTTGACCTTCTGCAGCAAGTGCTTCAGGTCCTCCTCAGTTTCAGCAAGCAGGCTTGTGTCATCTGCATAACGCAGATTGTTAATAGATCTTCCACCAATCCTGATGCCACATTCCTCCTTGTACAGCCCAGCTTCTCGAATGATCTGTTCTGCAAACAGATTGAAAAGGTACAGAGACAAAATACATCCCTGATGGACCTCCTTCTTGATTTTGAACCATGTAGTGTCTCCTTGCTCTGTTCTGACTACTGCCTCTTGGTCCAAGTATAGGTTTCGCATTAGTACAACCAAATGTTCTGGGATTCCCATTCTTCTCAGAGTCAGTCACAACTTGTTGTGATCCACACAGTCAAAAGCTTTTGCATAGTTAATGACATTCTTCTGGCATTCTCCGTTTTCTGCCAAGATCCATCTAACATTAGCTATAATATCCCTAGTACCACAACCTCGTCTAAATCCAGCCTGCACATCTGGCAGTTCTCTGTTGACATAATGTTCCAAACATTTTTGGATAATTTTCAGCAGAATCTTGCTTACATGTGATATTAATGATATTGTTTGATAATTTCTGCTTTCTCTTGGGTCACCTTTCTTTGCAATGGGAACAAATATCAATCTTTTCCAGTCAGTCGGCCAGCTGGTTGTTCTCCAGTTTTCTTGGCACAACTTAGTGAGCACATCCAGGGCAGTGTTTGTTTGTTGAAATATAGCAATTGGTATGCCATCAATTCCTGGAGCTTTGTCTTTTGCCAATTCCTTCAGAGCAATTTGAACTTCCTCCTTCATCACCATAGGCTCATATGTTATTTCATTAAATTCTTCTGTGCCAGCCAATTCCTTCTGATACAATGACTCAGTGTACTTCTTCCATCTTCTTTTGATACTTCCTGGATCATTTAACATTCTACCCAAACTATCCTTAAATATTGCCACCCGTGGCTTGAATTTGTTTTTCATCTTCTTCAGCTTATGAAATGCTGAGAGTTCAGCCCTTTTGATTTTCTGACTCCAGCTCTCTGCACATTTCATGATAGTTTCTTGCTTTGTTGTCCCGGGCTGCGTTTTGAAATTTTCTGTTCAGCTCTTTGATTTCTTGGTTTCTTCCTTTAACTTTAGCTTCTCGGTGCTCTAAATCAATGTTCAGAGTCTCATCTGACATCCATCTTGGTCTTTTCTTCTTCTTCAGCCTTTGTAATGATCTTTTGCGTTCTTCATGGATGATTTTCTTGGTATCCTCCCAGAGCTCATTTGGTCTATGCTCATTGGTGCTCAAGGCCTCAAATCCCGAGATGGTTTTGAAATTCGGGTGGGATAGACTTAAGGTCAAATTTTGGTTCCTGTGAATATAAGATATTTATTGAGTTTCCCTTGTATACAAAGGCTTACTTTGGTTTATGATGAGCTCTTCTAAGTCTAAAAACATTCCAAAAAGAACAAGTATAGTATAGTATAGTATAGTATAGTATAGTATAGTATAGTATAGTATCTTCCCTCTATAGAGAGGGAAGCTGTGATGTAGTCTGTAGGTAGTTGCACTGCTAACACCTTTGTGGTGGTATGAACCAATCAGAGACTCTTCAGGAGAAAGATGAGCAGTCTTCTCATATATAATTCACAGCTATTGAAAACCCTCCGAAGGGTCAGCTATGAGTCTCTTTGGCTTGAGGGCAATAAGTGAGGACAATCATAGAGAAAAAGAGCCCTGATCACATAGAAGATTAAATGTCAAGCTGCTAAAGAAACGTTGGCAGAAAGAACATACCAGCAACTCAGAGGGAGAAAGATGGACACTCTTTTAAGATAGTCAGCCTCTGAAACATGCTAGCGGGTCATCATGATTCAGAATAAACTTGATGTGGTGGGTTTGGGGTTTTTATTTTAATGTCAGAGAAGGAGCCTGATGGTATAGTTTGTTAAGTATCTTCTAACTGCCCCCCTCCCCATACTCATACTCATTCTACAATAATGATTTTATACAGTATTTGTCCTTGTGGAACAGAGTTTGTTCACTCAGCATAAAGCTCCCCAATCCCTCCCAAGTTACATAGTAATTTACAAAATCATTGCTCCTGCATGTTGCGTAGTATTCCATTGTATAAATGTACCACAGATTCTCAATAGATTCATTTGTGATTGGACACGTGGGCTGTTCCCTTGTTCTTGCAATGGTGAATTATTCAGCAGGTTGTTACTGAGAACATTCGTTACTTTAAAAAATGGACAATGATCAGATTACCATAGACAACATTTCAATATTTTAGGAATAGTCATAGATTATATATATATTTTAATGTTATTTAGCAGTTTAAACAAAAAATCAAATCAGATCTGCTGTCAAACCTACTACTGCTGAGTCAAATTTGACCCATAGCAGCCCTTTATCAGGTTTTAGAAGGTGTAAATATTTAAGGGACGGGACCAGCCATCTTTCTCCCACAGGATAAATAGTACATTTCTACTCTTAACCTTTCAGTTAGTCATCCAAACTTTATGCTTGCAATAAAATTGACCTGAATTTCAGATGGATTTAAGTAAAATGAAGTATATATCATCACCTTCATTTACTCAAAATAAATCCAAAATCTCCGTAAATGTTCATTAAAATTAATAAAATTAAGAAAAAAAATAAGGGACCTGAGGATGAACATTAAAAAAATGTCTTGCATTGAGAGAAAAAAAAAATAAAATAGGCGTGAGAGAATTCCAAAAATTCTCTTACTGCAGAGTAAAGTTTCATGTATTATGTATTTTTTAACAAGAGAAACTAAAAGTTTTAAGCATTTTAGCCCAAGTATTAGAGAAAATGTAATAATAATAATAATAATAATAATATTAGTCCATGTATTTTAAAACATAAACAATAGATGGAAAATATTTGTAGTTTCTTGGTTTTGGGTGTT